GTGATGAAACGTTTCTCCCACTGAAAATGCTCCATCCAGATACACAGAATCGACCCTTTGGGATTGAGTATACATCAAGACATATATTTATAATACATATAGTAATAAAAGTATAAACTATATTCTCTCTATTAACTTAAGTACCTCAACAAAAAAGAACATTCTGAACTAGAAACTTTGTCCAAAACGTCTTTATGTCCAGCTGCAATTTGTTGTTTTGTAAATTATGTAACAGTTCTTTCATGTTTCGTAAAGAACAATGTTATACTGCCTCTTCTTCAAAACAAACGTTCATTTTCATGGATTGCAGGATTCTTTATATGGATTATTTTGATGAATCCATATAAAAGGTACCCATAATAGCCATTATCTAAATATGCTTGTACTGTACATGGATCTGAGATGTTCTCTTTGTTTTTTCGTTTGTCAGGCTGAGTAATATCAGTTCCAGGTAATAGACATTGATGTATTGGTGATTGAAGAAGTGTTTGACTGATTTGAGATAGAATAGAATAACGTTATTATCCACATCAATGGAAAATTGTCAAGCCATAAACAAATCAATCAAATCACTTCATATGAACCCGCGTTCACATTTAGAACAACAACAATAAAAACACATTACAGCGTCTCATTATTCAGTATACCGATTGTCACAAATGATTCCTCTTCACCTTTTTGCTGGCGTCCTGGCTCCATTAAGCACAGGGGCCACTGGACGAAACTCACTAAGGGCTTTGGAACCTGGCCTGTTGAGAAGTGGCTTAATTATTTCTTAATTACTCTAGTCTTCCGTATTCTAGGAACTATACAAGTATTTAATAAAAACCAAAACAGTTTGGTCAAAAGTTCCCCTTCAACTGTGCTTAACAAGCTTTCAAAACGCGTTCATGTAGAGAGTCTGGCCCAGATGCTTTATATGACTTAATCATAGACAAACATTTGCCAACCATTTCCTCAGACAGATGAATCTTAGTGCTCTGGGCTACATCAGCCATCACAGTCCGTTGTCCTTTCTTTAAAATCTGCAGTTTCAGAACGAGTATAAAATTATTGAAATTATTGGCAAAGGACAGACAGTCAGCTGGACAGTGGTATTTGGCCCTTCCCATCATCCCGTTCAGACCCTTGACATTAATCCCTTGTAATCGTGTCGACTGTGCAGCCAAAATGACTTGATTGCATCCTTTTTCCTTTCCCCAAAGTTTTAAAATCTCTTGACATGGATGATCCTCATTATGGGCATTTCAATTAAACCAGTATGTAGAACACATTCTCAGCTGAAGTGGTTTTTCTTGGTGTTGGAGTTGTTCTTATGGCACCTATAAATAATCTTAATGTTGATACTGAATATTTTATAGTTTTCTGAGTAATGAAACTCATGCTGAACCAAATGCTATGCTGCCATAACTGACCTTATTAAAGTACTCTCTCCCATCCAGACACCTCATAACATTTAAAGCTCTTTTACATTTATAAATTATTTTTGGAATATGTACTTTCCAGGTCAATTTTCCATACAACTATATTCCCAAAAACGTAAATTGTTTTAACCTTTTCAAGTCATGAGTGTAAATTTGCAGGTTTAGCTTTGCAGAAACGTTTTTCCTTGTTAAAAACATTTTGTTTTATCCAAATTCAAAGGACCAATCCTCTATCTTATTAAATTCTTCTTTTATCTTTTTAAAAGCAAACGTTACATTTTACCCCTCTTCCAGATTATGCCATCATCAGAAAAGCCCAATCCATTCTCCAAATGTTCAAACTTATCAGTAATAATGAGAATGTGGACTCTCTATACTTTCCTGGGAGAAACCATTCTCAAAAAACAAAACAAATCCCTGAAACACTTTGCGCTGTTCTTACTTGTATTCACCGATCATGTAAAAAATATAAAAAAACAAAACATTGAACTATTAATTCCTATCTCCTTTAATTTTATTAAAAACAATATATCATAAGCTTTCTCCGTGTCAAAAAGGCAGCCACCGCACTCTCCTTCCAAACATAAAACGGTGCATATCTGTCAGGATCCTTCCTGGGAGAAACGCGCTGTACCTGCAGACGCGGGAGGCTCGTCTGATCCTTTTGCAGCCACACTTTGTGGCCGCTGGGGGGCAGCAGCTTCTGAGACGCGAGCGTAGAGGAAGTCGATGTTTACGCGTCGTTGTAAACTACCGGGTCGGTGTTAGCGCCAGCAGTCAGGTAAACCACTGACAGGGTGAAATGTTTTTGAGAATGATCCCCGGCAGTTCCCTCACCGCTGCTCTGCAGCGCAGCAGCACTTAGCATTAGCGTGCTAGCTGGCTGGGGAGGAGCCGGGACTGCGCAGAATCAGTAACCCGGGAGATCCGTTGTACCAGAAAGTAATTTTCGATGTTTCTTTGTGTTTCCAGCCTACAGCACATTTACTTCTATTGTTAGATAGGCTGTGGAGAACAGGGTTTGCAAAAAGGTTATAAAATAAATCAGAGATATTCCGGTTACAGTTACAGTTTCTGTTGTGCTCTTGGCCGCATCTCTCTTTAAAAAGATGTTTTATGTTAGTGCCACTCTTTAAGTGAAGGATGTATAGCAGCCACTTTGTCAGCCACTGATTGCAATGTTTAACTTGAGTATTGAAGGCGAGACGGACATGTGCTGGTCAAACATCCATGATTCCTCACAGTGTTACTGCAGGCCAAAGAAATGCCCTCCAGAGTAAGAATCTGGTGATATTTCCAAGATTTTTAGGGCCGAGAACAATAATCTCAGTTTGATCTGAACTTAGAAGCAGAAAGTTAGAGGTCATCCAGTTCTTTGAGACATTGCTGTTTTTAAACTGATTGATGTTTGGTGTCTCTGCTCATTGACGGAGCTGGGAATGATGCTAATGATGGCAGTATCAAGGAAGCTGATATAATGTAAACAGAAGCGCTTGCATGAAATGTGTGTTATTGGTTGAGTGAGGCTTGCAGCAGAAAGCGCTTTGAGTGCTCACTTCAGTATAAAGGTCAGTGTATTATTATGGCCTACGCTCACTTTACAGTATTGGTGGCATGACTTAAATATTGTTATTAATAATTATCGCCATGTCGAGGGTGTTGCATGCTGGATTTGACATCACATCCTGTGTCACGTGCTTCGGTCGTGCACCTCTCACCCCCTCTTTTGTAGTGTGCTGTGGCTGCCACAGCTGGACAATCGTAGGTTTTTTACCACCGTTGTAATGATGTAACCAGTACAGAAGCTCAGAGACATGGAAACAGTTTGAAAACTTGGAGAGTTGGTGGAAAACACAAAGCATTGGCATCCAGTTTTGACTTCTCGTCCAGAATCTGTACATCCTTATTGTCGTTGTAACAGGAGTCCCTGCAGTGTCAAGAGAAAAAGTTTAAATACAAAACAATAGCATGAAATGTTTTTTTGATTTTGCAATCTTCTTCGAGGAACAACAGTTGGACCATGTTGGCCTTATGATGGTTATTATAGCTCTGTTCCTTCCTCCCTCATCAGGTTCTTGTGTTGGTGTGAAGATGTGTGATCAGAAGCACGGCAGACAGCGTGGTGATATGATCAACAGTGACGATGGAGACCAGCTGTCAGCCAGCGATGAATCGGAGCCTGAACAACAGCCCAGCAGAGCTCCATTTGACCCAGACCTAGACCACAGTGATGATGATGATGATGATGTGTGTGCACCAGCAACTATTCCCACATCTCAGAGTTCATTCAGTTTGAGTGGAGGGACCTCGGCCTTCTCTGACCGCAGCCACAGCATCTTTGACTGCCTGGACAGTATTGGCAGGCAGAAGTTCTCCTCTCGAAATCAGAACACCGTTGCAGACGAATCCTCACGTCACAGTCAAAGCACAAGCCACCCGTCATCCATCTGTCCCACACCACCAAAGAAGAGATTCGTCCCAGACTACCTAGTGCATCCTGAGCGCTGGACACATTACAGTCTGGAGGATGTGAATGAGAGCAGTGATCAGGAAAACAGCAGAGTGGCTTATCAGTTCCTGTCCAGCCTGGGGCAAGAGGCAAGAGGCAGCTCCCCCTGTGACCTCCAGCACAAGATGATCTTCAGACCCAAGCAACTGCTGAAGGAACAACCTAATGACCAGCTTTCTCCTGTGAATACAAAGGAGACAGGAATGCATCTCAGTCACCTACTGGAGGAGGAGGAAGACGAAGAGGCAGAAGGAAGGAAAACAGAAGAGCATCTAGAGAAAACTGAGAAAGGACAAAAAGATGAAGAGAAGGACACGAGTGGAGCTACGGGTCAAGGAGAGGAAACGAAAGAGGTGCAAAAAGAAAAGAAGGTCGAAGAGTCCAGGTGCCAGTTCACCTCCTTCAGGAACATGATGAGTAAAAACTACAGGAAGCGCTCCGGCTGTGAGGACAACTGATGACAGCATGACGTCCTCACGTCAGCAGGTGGATGTTTCATCGTTCGCTCATATATGAACCGTACTCTCCACATGCCTTATCACCTGTGTTTGTCCTGTTTCACCCAGCAGAGATGCTCCAGAGTGCTTCATACGTCAGGTTTCCTCAGTGTAGAATTTTAGTTCCTTTTGTGTTTGGTTTCTGTGTTGAATTCAAAGGTTTTTGAGAAAATAAGAAATGGGAAATTTCCCCAGTGATAGTAATTACTATCATTAAAAACAAAAACACACCAGTTTCACCAACACATTAATGAAACAGGCACAAAATGTAATGTTGTGAAGTAAAATTAAGGGTTTATTATTTGCTACATCTTCCAATCTGAATAAACTGTCATTGTTTTAATTGAACAAATGGATCCAAATGACTCCTTTTGGAAACAAATGTTGGGATAAGTCAGTTTAACCATTGATTTAACACTGTTGATCTTCTGGAATAAAACTGTAAAGTTGTAATTACTCGTCTAACGTTGTGTGGATCCTCCGGCTGCTGAAGCAGCTCTGACCCGGTGAGACCCGACTCTACGAGACCTCTGAGAGTGTTACAGATCCTGTAAATGCTGATGTTTTATAGGCAGGCCCTCGTGGATCAGACTCATCGTCCTGCAGACTAGACTGAGCTGTGATCTGGGGATTTTGAAGGTCAAGTTAATACTTTGCACTCAGTCATATTCTGTCACCATCGGGCATCCTCCTGCCTCGATGGGAGCATGTGGGCTGCAGGTAGTTCAACATCGAACATGAATATCGCGACACGAGAACTTTATGGGTGGATCTTTTCTCATAGGCAGTGTTCTAGCATATCCTCTCCTAGTCAGCAATAGTCATCAGTGAAGAGGAAAGAACCACGACCAGGTGACCACACCAGCTTTCCATTGGCCCAGTTCTGAGATTCACTGCAGGTAAATCCCTGCTTCCAACACATTCACATAAAGAATTGTTGCCCTTTGACCTTTGACAGGTGCCCTAGTAAAAGACAGTCCGTGTTTAATAGTACATTTATTTCATTTTTTAGTATTTCTAATACAAAACCAACAAATGCAGGGATATGAGCCATGACCAGCTGTGATATAAAGAAAGCATTTGTGGGTTGTGCCCATGAAACAGCCAAACAGCTCATTCTGTTACTGGATCTTCTTTTGAGCTTCTGGTACTGATGAGAGTCACATGGAGCCTAATTAGCAGCACTTTTGGGGATGGACTACTCCAGCGGTGTCTTCTCCAAGCATGCTATGTTTGACTGGACGGGGCTTGCACCAAAGGTCAGCAACATGAACCTGAACATGTGGACAGTTATTCTCAACGATGAGTCCAGATTCTGCCTGCTTCACATGTTCTGCTTCATTATGAATTCTCTGATAAGATAAGATAAGATAACCTTTATTAGTCCCACACGTTGCTGTTTGTTTCCCAAGCTATGCATTAGTAGAAAGAGATCCTCCAACTAGCCTCCACATCAGAGCTCAGAGAGGTTGAAAGGTCTTAATATCCTTATGTGAGTAAAAATGCTTTTCTCTATTTCCTAATAATGAAGCATTTTTGGTCAAATATAAATCAGAATACGAGTTTGATTAATGTATAAATAAGAAATGTAGTTTGAGTAGCAGAAAT